TGGCGCAGGAGGGGAGTGAATGGCACCAGGAGAGGGGCTCTGCACACAGCGCACATAAATGTTTTGTAACTGACAGAGGTGTTCGTTACCCTTTTGCATTTTCAGACTGTTCAGACTGCATGTCTTGTCTGGTAATCCCAGGAAAGTACCCAGACACGTAACTGTACATTTAAATGCTGACAAATAAACTCTATCGTAACGGTTTAGGCAGTTAGGCTAATCTCTTAAACGACATCGTAATGCTATTCTTGATAATCAATATCTTACCTTCATAGCCATGAACACATTTTTAAAATCTTATAACATTTTAAAGCCTTTATTATTTCTCAACTCTGTGCAGTAAGATTCACTTTATTAAAGGTTCACTTTTAATTCATGAAGACAACATGAAGATATGTGGCAAAATCGTGTCTCTTGGCGAAAAATAAAGACTTTTTAAGATGAAAATGAAATTACCGTTATAACCAGGAGATGGCAGCAGAGGATCACTCATTGGCTGCAGCTGCAAATTTCAACTCCCTAGTTTTTTTCACGTCTTTTGATTTTTTATAAAATAAATATTATAACAAATTTAGTACTTTATCGCACCTAAGTATAAAGTATAGCAAGTGCAGGAAGTCACAAAGTCACTTGTCATTTAAAGAAATAAATAAATAAGGCCAGACAACAACCTATAATGCTGAATTATTTAAATACCTATATAGTCAAATACAAGTTAACTTGAACATTATTTTGAAATGTTTAGATTTAATATAATAACTACATCATAGTTATATCGAACAAAGACTTGTTGCTGCTGTAGTTTTGTTAGTCTGAATTTAATCTGAATTACTTAATGCAAAGCTCTATTTTTACATCGGCTCGTCAGATGATTCATTCCGTTGCCACTGTCAATCATAGCAATGACTCGTGGCATGATTTAACGGATTATTCACGTTTGTCATTCCTGAAACGGTATACGTGGATGTTTGGTCCTCTTAGACAAACAAAACTTTTCTCCAAATTGTGAATGGATTATGAAGAGAAACCAAGCAAAGGGCGCTCCTCTTATGGCACAGTACAGTTGACCGGAAATGACTGAGCTGGCTTATCTAAAACCAGGAAGTAATCGTGCATATGGTAAATTTAACGATTTACCCCAGGAGCCATATTGAGATCCCAATATCTCTGGAACCAAACCATATAGGGCCTTAAAAATTAAGATGCCAAAAAGAAAAGTTTGTTAAGACCCAAAATCTAAAAAGGCATTAAGATATCTTTAATACTTCTTGAGTCACAGGCCTGCAAACTTTGGAGAAAAAACTTGAAAAGTGCTCTATCCCCATTTTTGAACGGTCACCATTGGCACATAATGCAACAAAGATTGCTAAAGTCAACAGATTTTACTAATAAACCTACTAATCTCTGGGTAAAAGTAACATTATGAAGTCATTTTACCCCCCTGTAATTTGGCTCTGAATCTCAGGTGAAAATTGCCAGTTTGACCCCCCTCTACAAAAAAGCGGATTACTCAGTAAATATTAATCCATGACATTTAATATTTTGGCTTACATCACTATACATGCTTATCTTTCTTTAGAAAAAAATATTAGCAAAATCAAAAATTTGAGCTGGGGAAGTTTCTGAAATTTGGTTGATTCGACACGGAATGACCCAATAATAATTTCTTACTTTAAGGTTTTCACAGTCCAGAAGCCCCTTAAAGAGGTCCAAGTAGTCCTTAGATGAAGGAACTTTCCATTTCCCAGAGCGCACCAGGGCGGAGTCTTCCTCAGTTTGAGAAGCACCTGAAGGAATGTTCTGCTCCTAATGGGCAGATGAATATTATGATATCATGATAATCACAATATGAACAGAAAAGAAAAAGATCAACAATTTCAGCAAAAACACTTACGTCTGACTGAGGAACTGGCTTAGAGCACACTCTGATCAGGCCTTGGTGAACTGTTGTTGAAGAAATGAAGAGTGTGAACACTAGTAAATCTAACCATGAATCAGACCAGCCAAAGCTAACCTCCATTTCATCCTTACCCACAGAACTAGTGAAACTCCAGAGGACTGGACCTCGAACTGCCATGGCAACAAACACCTTGATGATGGAGCGGCAGGTAGCATACTGCATTCTCTGGCTGTACTGAGGGAAGCTGTCCATCTGAACCACAAGGAGGCGCTCTAGCACAGGAGTGTACACTTCAGGGATCTGCATCCAGTTACAGAAATTACATTAGAATCTGTTAGGTGAAAACAGGTGAACTACAGAGAGAAGAAAGGCAACAGCAACAAATACTGAAAAACTGCCTATATTCATTTGACTCTACGATATGAGACACTTGAAACTAAATTTTTGGGGTCTTAAAACGCTGACCAGACCTATTAGGTGTAGTAGCATAGAACAGAGGACTAAAAACCGACCTACACACTGAATGTTTATTTGAAAAGCCAATTTATCAACATTTTTAATGGATTAGATCGAGCATTGCACAGCTCACAGTAAAGGAGATTTATCATACCCGGTCAAGGTGTACCAGAACACTAGCTATGGAGTCGAGGAAGCTTGGCAGCTGGTAGACATTGTCATCATCCCGGTCAGTCTCAGTCAGATACATCTGCTTACACCTCTGAATCAGCTCTGTATACATCAGATCTACATCCTGAGGGCACACCACCTTACACGGCTAAAGGCAAACAAACACAAGAGAATTTTAAAACTAGAAACACAAAATAGAAAAAACTAGAATAGTGCAATATAATTTGACTTCCTGAGAGACATTGATTATAGTCTATTGTTACTATTGTGTTAAAATGTACAAACTGCAGCAAACAGGCCATATCCTCTGATAGCAATGGACAGTTCTCTATTAGTGGATTCCATGGTCCTGATGATAGCACAGAACTTCTGCATGAAGTACTTCAGCTTGCTCTTGTGCAACTCAATGTTCTCTGCCACAAGAGTGGCCACCTTTACGACAGTGAGAGGAAAAGTTTGACAAGATGTCATCATAACCAAGTTAAACATCCCGCAAAAAAAGAGAAAAGAAAACATTTAAACATTGAATAATCAATAAACAGAAAATACCTGTTTTAGGAAAGACTCTAGTGCTGTGTAACTACTCTTTTTCAGCTCTGCATTTATATGTCCACAAAGTTTGGACATAACATCAAAGATAGACATATAATGATCCATGAGACAACTGCCGAACTGGCTGGAATGCTTAGCAAACAGTTTGAGACCGGCTGTCAAGAGTAAAAAAACAAAACAATGAATAAGCTAAACATGGGATGCACTGCATAATATCACATAACGATATCAAATTCCACTCACCAAAGATGACTGCATATCGTTTCATATCAGTCTAGAGATGCAAAGAAGGAAGAAATGCATGTATTTGGGAGCCCTGAACAGAAAATGTGACATGTACTACACAAAAAGGGTAAACTAACAACATTTATTAATCCTACCTGTGGACAGATTGCCTTCAGCGCATAATCAAATATTTCTTTTGACGTAACTGGGTCTGTTTAAAGAAAAGCAGTGAGCATATTCATTCAGTAACAGTAGGATGAGACCAGTTCAGGACAGTAAATCTACACATGCCCACCTTCTTCCATTGATTTGGTGAAGTTCACCATCAGAGCTGTGATTCCTTTCAGGCATCCAGCAACAACAGGAAGTTTTGGTTCCTTTGTAGTAGATGTCATCTGAAAACCATTGATTTTAGCACTTCTATACATACATATAAGATCACTTTTCCATATGCAGATAGGACGTCTTTACCTGTCCTTTCAGTTCACCCAGGTAGGCCTTGTAGAGTTTGTCAGAGTTGTTGACCATCTCACTGGGGTGCACTTCACCAAGCACTCCGAGAAGTTCATAAATGCAACCCAGTACTGTTGGTAGGGAATTTTGTATTTCAACAACGCATACAGTATGTGCTAGCGTTTTTGTTTGTATTCTGACATGCAACTAAAAATACATCATAACATTAGTCTTGTTAAAATGACTAATGACAACGGCAACATATTTTTGCTATAACAGAAAATTAAATAAGACAATAATTAGCCTCAACTTGCCTGTATCAGGTATCTTACTCTTCTGAGATAACTCTCCGTAAAATTTGTTGAACATATCACCAACTTTGAGATCCTGGGTGATGCTGAAGACTTTTGTGAGATACAGTATCTAGAGAGATTTGTGGGATGTGTTAACACTATTTGTCTGTAAATATCAAAATATGTCATTAGCACAGGTTCTCTGTCTTCAAATCAAAGGTATAATGGCATTTAAAGAAAATCTTTCTCCTTGCAGACCTTAAGTCAATTGGCTACAAGTCTAAGTTAAGTCTCAAGTGCAAGTTACAGCACACGGTAGATCAACAGAACTTACTTTGATTAGAAGATCTAAAGCAGGGATTCGGCACTTTGCAGCTTTGTCCTTTGTGTAGACAACAATACAAATGTCCTATCCATGCAGAGAAAATAAGTTAGTGTTACAAATGTGATATGTAATTTTAGTCAACCTTTAAATGGCACATTAAAACGTGACACCAAACCAGAAAGAAATCTGCCAACTACTGTTTTAATGTACTGTACCTTAAGTTCGACTGCATAGTTCTTCTCCCATCCTCGGACAGTGACTGAGATTCTCTCCAGAAATGTCCCTAAAAAATTTAGAATGTCCACTCTTGTATCCCGCAGCTGTGGAGAAACCTTTATTTTTTTAATAACTTTATAATAAATGTGTATTATGTCAGGAAGATTTACCATATATCATTTGCCTGTAAATACCTCTTACCATTTCATTAGAGAGAGACTTCCGGAGAAAGCCAAGCAATCCCTCTTCCTTTGCAAAAAGCAAAGACGTCTGTAAAACTGAAAATATATTCATATTGATATTTCAAGATCAACTTTACTGTTTACTGTATACACATGCCTATATACATCAATGGTGATTTTATATGCACACTTTTTTTGTGGTGAAGGACAGCGCTGTTATTTTCAGCTAAAAGGTGATTTTTACTTTAGGTTACATCTTTATACGAGTTTATGTGCATGCAGCTGCCAATCCTAGATAATACATGAACCGAGATAACATTAGTTTTCAAATCTCTGTCAATCTGCTGCATGCGCCCCTGTAATCTTATTTTGCTTAACCATCCATAAAAGTAATTAATAATACTTATATTTTGCATAAACACAACGCAATGCTTTTTGCATAAAGAAGTTCTTACCCAGTTCATTCTCATTCTTAGTTATCATGCATTCCTGCCCCAAGTCTCCAATAATGTCATGGCAGACTATAGCAGCATTCCTGCTCTCTGTGTCTCCAAGGAATGAATGAAGCTTTAGGAGATAACCCTGGATCCCTCCAACAGTGGAAGTATCAGAAGACATCATTTGTCTCTGTTGCTTACATCAGAAACGAATAAAAGTTGACAAAGAGCTTATGTAAATCAAGTGAGTTTGCGTCAAGGCGGCAAAACAGAACAACACAACCACTTGAACGCGCTCACTTCCTGCTTGAACCGCACGTCACTCTGGAAGAACAATAACTCATGTAACCGCTTGATGACGCTGTTTGCTCGCCATCAGATTCTGTTCCCGCCATGCTGCTTCTGCAGAATATTCTTGTCCTCAGAGTAATAACTCTACATCTATCTGTACACGGTGCAGACTTGTTTTGAAGCTCTTGGGCAAACCAGTGCACATCATTTGGGCCCAACACATAACTAGCAAGTGACAATGACAGCCTTGCTTTATTTGACTGCATTCTAAGCGTTAGGGAAGTCTTGCCAAGCTAGTACTCCTAATGCTGGAAAACTCTAAACCCTGTACTTTAACTCTATACTATCTACAGTGCATAAAAAACCCTTCTTAACCTTATAGTGTCTATAGTGCAAAAATAATCCTACCTTACACCATACTATTAGAGCAAAAAATAACCCTACAGAACCCTGTAATATCTACAATGAAAAAATAAGCTTACTTAACCCTATACTATACTATCAGTACAAAAATAATCCCACCTAGAACTGTAATATGTACAGTGAAAAAAAATAATAACTCGACCTAACTCTATATTCCAGGGGTCACCAGATTCGGTCCTGCAGAGTTTAGCTCCAACCCTAATTAAACACACCTGAAGCAGCTAATCAAGGTTTTACTAGGTATACTTGAAACTGTCTCTGCGTCCCAATGTGCATACTATCCACCCTATCTGCCCTAAATAGTATTGAAAATTACTAATATCACCTAGAATTTAAGATGGATAGTATGCGCATTGGGACGCAGGCTTTGTGTTGAGGCAAGTTGGAGCTAAACTCTGCCGAACACCGTCCCTCCAGGATCAGGTTTGGTAACCCCTGGTATACTCTCTACAGTGCAAAAAATAACCCTACCTCACCCTACACTTCAGTGCAAAAAATAACTATACTTAGCCCTATCTATGGATTTTGTTTTGTATTTATCATAAGATTAAACTTAATAATAAGACTGCTGATATAACAAATGAATTATTTATAGGGATGGTTAATGCAAAGACATTACTCAGCAGGAGCTGGTTTTACAGTAGAGTTACAGAGTGGGTTTCAGTATAAAACATCTGATTGCTTAAGAGCATGTATTTTGAGGCAGTTAAGATAATGACTTAAATGCTGGTTAAATTAACATTAAATTCAACAAAACACACAAATAAAACTATGTTAACTGACATATAGTAAAAAGCTAGAGAATTTACACTGACCAGCCTGTAGCCCTTATTACTACTCATGTAAATACTCAAATTCTCCAATAGTCTGCAGTACATGTTGGTCCATGAAAAGATGTGAGAAAGTTTGGAGTGAATGGACAAAAGGTAGTGAAATAGTCTATTATTTCCAAGCATTCACTGTCACCCGAGCAAGATAATGCATGATAAACAGTACAACCGTGGTCTTATATATGGGTTATGGTTATAGTTATTGTGCACTGCATGTATTCAAATCTGTTTCTGCTAATAATCTCAGATGCATGCGTATTCTTAATATTTCCTGTATAATTACACAAATAGCCTTCAGAAAAAATGACATTGTCATTTTTTACTTTTTTAAATTTAATTTTATTCTCTGAATTTGAAGAGAAATGAAACAATGAATATCATTTGATTATTTTTTTTTTATTTAATATGTTTTTTGTTTGCATCTAACATTTTAATTCATTACTTAATTCTACAAAATTTAATAGTACGGCCAACAATGATTCCAAGATAAAAACAAAAATGTTTAATAGAGACAGGCAGTGAGAAAATTGGTCCACAAGTTCTTCTAGTCATCTTGGCTCCAATCGTCTTGGCTCTTTCTTGCGAACAACTTCAGAAAAAAATAATACACACAAATTATTTGACCTCAAATGTATTTGTTTAGATGATAATAAGTGGAGAGAGAGAATTGAAAACGGAGAATTGCCTGCTTTAGTCTTTCATCTCCTGAGACGAATGGCTTCTCCACAGCTGTGTCACCACCGGATCCAAATCCTGACAGATCCATTTCCACCAGTGGCTAATAATTAAAGCAGAGAAATCAAATGCTGTGTTCTGCTTTACAACTCAGAACACAGTAGCCTGGATCAAACATTTACTCAAAAAATCTTGAAATAAAAATTTCAAGTAAAATCATTTCAAATAAATGATCTAAAGGGTATGAGATTATCTGACATGGCTGGACACAGTAGGGACATCACCTCATGAAATTTAAAACCCCTCAATCCCTCATCATGAAATGCCAACATATGGGATCCAGGAAACTGAGAGGAAAAAAGAGCAAGAAAAAAAATCTTAAACATAAACATGTTTAATAAGGAGCATTACTACTAAGTTCATTTTCATAAACATTTGTCATGTTTTGTTTGACTCTCAGCAAACTGAGAGAAACAAAAGAAAACAGATCTGCTAATCATTATTTAACATGAATAAAGAAGGAATGGTATAATGCTTAATAATATTATATTTGTACCTCAATTAAGTAAATTACAGTTTAGTTGCACCTCATGAGAAAAATGTATATGAAATGTAATGCTATTTTACTATATTACTAATATGGCAATATTAATATTGCAAGTAAAGTTATCATCTCACCTTTGTTTTTTTGACCTTATTTGTCAAGGCTCCTTGTATAAAGATGAAAATAAGTAAAACTTTGCCTCCAGTCAAATGTAGGGTTGATTTTTGTTTCATTGCACCAGGATAACTAGAGCCTAAACACTAGAGCTATTTGCTTCTGAGAGTGAGGAGGAAGTTACACAGCAATATTTATACTGAACCTTGTTATAAAGTCATGTGCATTTGCAATAATGACAAAATGTGCATGTTCCTGATAAGAAAAATGTTGCAAATGAAAGAGACACTTCCATTTAATAATCACTATATATTCACTATATATTATCAAGTACAACTTATTTTGTATAGTATTGTTCACCATTTAGGATAAAAAGAATGAACATGTTTGGTGCACTGAATTATGTTCATAATTTGTTTTTAGAATGTTTATTTGAAAAATGTTGAAGTAAGGATCTTTTGCCAACAAGTAGAGTTATATGTATTAGTATTACCTGCATTATATTAGGTCCTGTGATAAATGACTCCTCCATCTGAACTGGGGCTTCATCACCAGATTTGACCTGTTGTTATCCCGGATGGCTAATTAAAACAGAAATCAAATCTGTGTTCCGGCTTTAGAATGTGGTAAAAAGTGTAGAGAAATGGAACTGTATTCATTCAGTCTGCAAACTCTTGGATCCAAGTTCATATATTTATTAATCTGACTGCCAACTGTGGATGTAGATACTGTAAGAGTATCAAAACTATACGTCTTATCTCAAATATCTGCAAGAGCAAGAGTGCAGATTGTTTTCATTCATCAAAGATTTACATTATTAAGCAACCAGATTACAAAAAAGAACAAAAACTTAATATATTTAGTACTCAAAACCATAAATGTCCAAGACGCAAAATCAGCAAGCAAACCATTTTGATTTAAAAAACACCAAGTTGCAATACTTTACTTTTGCAATAGATTCGTGTTAATTGAACTAATATTCTGTCATCTCTGTTGCAAGTAAGCTACACTGTATTGCAGCTCAAGAGGAAAATAATTTTTGTATAATATTGCTATGTGTAGGTGGTCATCTTACCCATGAATCATTCATATGACACATTGGCTCCTTGTACAAGGATGAGAATTAAGAGGATTTTGACTCAAATCAAATTTTTGGTTGCCTTAATTGTTAAAAGATGGAAGTAAATCAATACTAGAGACATCTGCTGCTGCAGGGTGTGGAAGCAATATGTATCTTGTAACCATTAAGATTTAATCTAATATAGTCCAATTTATTTACTGCATTACAGTGAAAATAAAGTATGTGCCCAAGGACAAATATGTTGCATGTTTTTGTTTTATAAGAACATATTTTTAGATATGCTCTTATAAAACAATGTACATGTATTGAGAGCACGTCAAAGTGGTAGTAGTAGCAAATAAGTCACTTGGTGCTCATAGTTTTCATCTCACTGAATCCCAAACATATAGTCTAAAAGCTTTGGCAAAGCCAGTGTAGACATTGCAGTTTGTGTGGATGGGAGGATAATACAAATCACCCTCACCCTCCCAATCAAACACCCCACACTCCTTTTACACAGTATAAACTAAGAAATGAACCTTAAAGGGAAACAGACTGAGTGCTATAGAAAGATAGAGACAAGAGATGCAGATGTGCAACCACAAGACTGGAGACAGTTGAACATCTGCACGTTTACCTGCCTAAACGGGGAGGATGTTCCTAGAAGGAGGGTCTTATCAGATTTAGCGAAGAAAATCGGTTGCACTTTATTTCACAGCATCCTTGTTACGGTGTAATTGTACTGAGTATTATTAATTAACCACATACACTTATTACGGGGTTAGAGTTGGGATTAGAGTTTTGTTTAGGATTATTGCATGTAATTATGCATAATTTACTCTTGTTACTATAGTAAGTACATGTAATGTGTAACAAGGACACTATAAAAGAAAGAAGAAAAAAAAAAGAAAAAAAAAGTGTCCCCGAAATACACACAGAACATTTCTCAACCACTGGAACCTGCATGACTTGATATATATGCTGTTCACTAGAACTGATAAATGTACCTCATTGTGAAACATGAACATGTTTGTGTATTTGCATATTTGCATGTAGGCGACTGTGAGAAACTATTTAAAAATGACCACAACACAGTTTTGCCTAATGTGAGCTCCTCTTGCACTAACAGTTAAAAAACAATGTTAAGTCCTCCAGCAGCACCCTTTGTTGTTCCAAGTGGATGTGTATTCACATGGATGCATTATTGACAGATTACACTGTTTAGTTTGAAATGGTATTTTATGTGTCTACATTCATTATTTTGGATACTGTATGTTATGATTTGATGTGGGATATTCTGAAAATTGTTTTCTGCATACTTTGATGTTCTACTGTTCTACACCAACATAATTTAATCTATTTATTCCAATAAATCATTATTGCCTTTACAGTTTTAAATAAAACAGATGTGCTGATGCTGGGAAATCTGAGAGGTACATTAAGAGATATAAGACCAGGGAACGCTTTAACGATTGCCCTTGAGGAAGTTGTCAACACTCCTAGATGACAGTACAATGGAATGCAATCCACATCAACAGCTGGGAAATTGGGGTTCATTGTCCTAAAATTCCTGGGAAAGAGAGGAGGGTAATCAATCCATGGTGGAAAAGTTTGTCTGTCCTGCTCATGGGATTTTATATATCATGAGTCTGTTTGTCAATTTTTGATTTCAAGTGCTCCTTGTAAGCCAAAATGTCCCCGTTCCATTTGGTGATGGTCTGCTTTTCACACACCCAAATTTCCTGAGCCACCTAGAATGAGATGGAAAAGTCATCATCACACAATCCAGATCACAGACATCTAGGGCCTGTTTACACCTGGTCATTTCATGCGTTTTCACTGATCGGATATCTATCTGATTTGTTAAAACGTTTCCATTTACACTTGGCCACATAAATGTGTCGTCGCAAAACGGATATAAATCCGATCTTCAATTCCCGCGCTACATTTAAATTTAACGGAGTTCACGCCAACGAAATCAAAAGATAAGCGCTGCATTTTATTAATTATCAGCTCATTTCAAGATCAAAGACCGCAATAGGAGAGCGCGCGGCATCAGCACTGGAAAGATAAGTTTGTCTTACTACTTTAATGAAGATGATTGTGTGTTGAGCGTCTGCGAATTACTTTGTTTCATTCGCAGCAGTTTGCGCGTCGGCTTGCTGAAGAGATGCTCAGCTACTTGTCCACTACAATGCGTGTTGCATTAGCGCAGTCATATCTGACTATAATGTCATATAGCCTATAACACGCTCTCACACGTTTATTATTTTAACATTCTGGGAGGAGTAAAATTTACATATGTGGTTTCAACAACCAGATGCATTTACACTTGTCCGGTTTCGTTTGGAATGCGTCACAGACCACCTCCTGAAGTGGTTTCAGCGATCGGATTTATATCCGATCAGACAAAACGCATGAAGTGACCAGGTGTAAACAGCCCCCTAGTCAAATGTGAAAACAAACAAGACTGTATGATATATTTACTAGCTTTGAAGATATACCTGCTGAATAAGTCTGAAGTCGTGGCTAACTAGCATCATTCCTCCCTCAAACTCATTGATGGCTTCAGCCAGAGCATCAATTGTCTCAATGTCCAAGTGATTAGTTGGCTCATCCAGAAACAGCATGTGCGGATTCTGCCACGCAAGCCAGGCGAAACACACCCGACACTTCTGGCCATCTGACAAGTTCCTGATGGGACTGACCTGTTAGAGGGGGATATGACAGTTAAAACAGAAAAAACCCTAAGCAAGTACAGTAGTACTAGGGGTGGGAATCTTTAGGCACTTCACGATCCGATACAGATTCTGGGAGTCACGATCCGATTCCAAAACGATTCCTGATCTACATTTTTTCCTAATGAATTCTTCTGCTGTGCAAATACATCTTTACAACTTTACATTTTAACCAAAATTGCAGTTTCTATGCTTTTTGTTTATAGTTGGAATCTCTGTATGCGTCACATTCTCAATTTTCAATATTACTGCACATGGCTACATTTTCATATAAATTTTATATCAAATTTATTTTGCGCAAATTTTACTTAATTTTTTGTAAAAGGCTGCATTCACACCGATTCACCCTAATGCACATTTCTATTTCGATATATCAGATGTTTTGTCCTGTTCTGAAAACATAACGGACTGTGTTTTCATCAATTTTGTATAAAAGTATTAGGAGATGCAAGTGCATTTAAAGGGGTCATATGATGCGATTTAAATTTTGTGAAGGCACTGTGTGATTCGTTGTGAAAGCGAAACTACTTTGTTTGGTCTTCCAAAAGAGGACAATAT